AGTACTAAAACTTTAAAAGATTAGTTTTATTAAATCTAACGTAATGTAGGCCAATGAGTTTACGAGCAATGTTGGTTAAACTAGGTTTTTAGTATTCAATATGCTAACATATATTCTTTACATTTATTATAATAATAAGTAATACAATATGAATCTATTAAACTTAAGTTATGTCGAAACATTTATTTAAGAATTAGATCCATATTGTACTTATTATTATAATAAATGTAAAGAATACAATATGTTAGCATATTGAATACTAAAAACCTTGTTTAACCAACATTGCTCATAAACTCATTGGCCTACATTACGTTAGATTTATTAAATTATAAGCGAGCTTATTATTGTTAATTATTAGTTTTATTAATTTCTTTTAACTGTATAGCTGAGTTTGTATACAATTCTATAATTGTATAATACAATATATGTATAATACAATTATAATTGTACACAATTCTAGTCAAATGTTTCATAAACGTTTAATCGCACGTTTACGAAAAACATTTGATACGAACGTTTAATACGAACGTCAAACGAACGTTCTGGTGGTGGCACAGCCGAACTGATTTCGAACGGTTCGCTTCGAACGTTCCCCGAACGTTTTTCCGGCGTACGTGTGCTGGTGGGGAACTTCACTGCTCGGCGATTTTCGTTCGATTGGTTCGAAAGGCGAACGATTATGCGCGTTCCAAACGAAAATTCGTTCCCCGAACGTTCGCTCATCGTTCGTGTGCTGGTGGGGTACATTCAAATACCATATTTTTTCCAACACAGGTTTTCGTTAAGTGGAATCATTATCGTCAGTGAATTCAAGTGTTATAAAATCGCTGAACGACTTTTCTAATTATTTAAAATGCTATGTTGGAAGTGCTAAAATTGAATTATCCCACTAAAATAATAATCCAATCTTAGCTCAGAAAATTTCTGACCATTGCAAAAATATTATACATATGTATACATTTCATAATTATTAATTTTTTAAGTATCTATTTGAGTGTCAAAAAATACTAATTTGTTCAAGATTGTTTTAACGTTGCAACCAAATAAAGAATTAATGTACAAACATTATCCTAGATTTAACGTAAAAAAGATATTTATATTTCAACATTCAACATTGCAACGTTTCAGTAACATTATTTTAACTTTCTGTGCTATGGGTACAGATAATCTTGCGGTCGCACAGCCACTGTGGTGGTGAGATCTCCCGTACCTTCCCATGGCATTCGTCGCGACCAATGAACAGCACGCGAGCCATCCCCATCACATCTCCTCCACCGTTGTGGCTATGTGGCAGTGGAAAACTTCCAACACTGATCCAGAGCACTTCATAGTTATTCAGTTTCCAACTGCTCTACCGTTTACATCAACGCAGCTTCAGAATCATTCAGTTTCCAACTGCCCTACCGTTTACGTCTACGCAGCTTCAGAATCATTCAGTTTCCAACTGCCCTACCGTTTACGTCTACGCAGCTTCAATATTATGGAATTTCATTGCCCAGAGGCTCTAAGGGTAAGAAAATTTTCTATTGTTTAGTTCAGGTTCAGGTTAATATATTGTATAGGTTTATAACTCTCATGTTATAAAATGAAAAGATGATAAAGTGTGCGCTCATCGACAACATAAATATTATATTACATTTATATTGTTCAGTAGGAAATTATAATATTAACGTTATCCAGGGTTGGGAAGTAACGCGTTACTTGTAACGCCGTTACCTCGTCTGTAACGGTAACGGTAACGT